CCCCCCCCCCCCACATCTCTGCTCAACATGGTGACAATTTCCTGTCCCTCATTATTATGAAGGGTTTTCATTTCTTGCAAACTTTTGCAAAATATTACATTTCAAAGAAAGGAAGCTTCCATAAACTATATTTACTTTATAAGACTTATTTTTTCGTTTGCAGCAAGGAACCGCGGGATTGCAATCCCAGCAGACCTTGAGAGCCAGATCCAAGCGTTGTTCACTCGGTCTCAGTTGGTGATGAAACATACTCGGCACTGGCTCAGCCACGGAAAGGGCCGAAGGGACTCAATTATGAACCTCTCTAGAGACTATAGGAGCATTATTGAGGGGTTGCAGGTGAGTGTCCTTTACTTGTGTTATTTACCAACACCGGAGCGAAAAAGAGCCACGGAGATAACTGCGCATGAACGTCATCTGATAACCTAATAGTTGCCTATCACAGCGTTATTTGTGAACCTGTCACTCCCGAGAACTAAGGATCCATTATTCACACTGTCTGCTTTATATTTCTTGTGATTTTAGCTCTGGAAATTTGGTATTAAATCAAATAATATTTGGTAATTGGTGAATTTTTTTTCTTGCCTCGACCATCTGCTTGGAAATGTGTTGATACTTGTAGGGGGGAAAAACCTACAAGGTCATCCTTGGGGGTGAAAATGTCTAAAAGATATCGAACAATGTCATCACTTTAATAAGTGTTTGAAATATGCAGACAAAGCCTACTGTTGCTTTCTCATGCCAATGTTTTTTGGTGGAGTGCTGTCCAAGCCTTTTTTAATCTCTCACTGTCTGGAATTCACGGTAGTATTAGTTTATTTCGTCGACTCCAGAGGTCTCCAGGCGTCTGCCATTAAGTTTTGGGCTGAGATCGCTTTTGAACTTACTCAATTGATTCCAAAATGTCCTTCAGTTTGAATCAAAACCTAGAATTCTTACCAAGACGATCGGAATTTATGTTCCTTAAGTTGCCTCTATCCATCACTGGTGAATTGGTTAGGAGAAGAAAGGAATTGGTCGTTGTTGCTTTTAAATTTGGAATTTTTGTTTATCCAAATCACAGGATATTGTTTCACTGCTTGAGGACCAACTTCGCCCTCTCGTTCAATCAGAGTTATCCGTGCTGGGTGATGTACTGTATCGGCCAGAATTGATGTTTCCTCAGCAGTCTGAAGCTTGGCACAAGTCCAAGTCAGGAGGGTTCGTCTCCAGGTATGATGCAAAAGTTTTACTGGTTAAACGAGTTAAAAATGGCGTCGTGAGGGAGATGGAGATAAGCCTGTTTTGTGTTTGTTCTGTATTGTTGACACGGCTTAGGTGCAAGGGATAAAATACACTATTTCGTCTGGCCATTATTTGTAAAAGTTGTAGCCATAAAAGCTCTCTGTCGCTTTTTCTCTTTCCTTAACCATGGCTTGGCTGATAATATAATAGACTAGTCTACTATTATTTATTGTTTCACCCAGGTTGATAACTCACGCTAAACAGCTTCTTGAGGACAACGAGGAAGCATTATGCGTCCGAGTGCTACAGACGATCAAGGGAATGATGGCACGTGACATCGACTTTGGAGAAAAGGTAATGGCAAGAGATGATTGAAACATGTTGTACATGTTTTATGTCAGGATCATCCCTTAGCTATTTCAGCAGACTTTTTAATTCCTATTGTTTTACTGCTTTTAATCCAGGGTGATGGATTGCGTTCATCGCTGTTAGGTCGCTACTTTGGCACAAATTATCACTTCAGGATTGGCCGTGACGCCAACAGCAAGAGCTTGATTGACAGCAACAGCAAGAAGACCGCTAGTCAGATGGTCAACTCGGGGCCTGGGGCCGAGATGTTGTCACGCGCGGGCGTCACGTTGTGTGAGATGCAAGGACGACTCGACAAGTGCGGTGCATCTGATCTGATTATTGATCTTATAATGGTGCAGCCCAACCTCAGAGTGTTTCTAGAGATACTCGAACTAGCGATTGCCCTACTTGAAGGAGGAAACAATTCTATTCAGGTTGGTAATTATCTCGGCTCCCAAGAATTTTATGATTTTGGACACGAGAAAGGAGACGTGTGCGACCACGTTACAACGCGCCTGTTGCCCACGCGCGGGCTGTCCGTGCGTAGTCCGCATCATTCTCGACTTGCATCTTTCTTTTCTCGCGTGTGCTCCAGGAACCAGCGCTTTTTATTACGTCTAATCATTTTCGCATATTTCCTTATTTTTCTCTTTTGAAGAAATCATTGCTCCATCGGTTTACAAACGGTAAATGTGAAGAATTCTTCCGATACATCTACGACAAAATGAGAGACGCTGAGGCCGAAATCCGGGCGACAATCACAGTTCAAACAACAGAGTCAACTGTAGCAAAGAAGAGCGATAAAGATGTGTCCCATGCGAAGACCGCCGATGGACGGAGAGGTACTGTGTTCGGTGGACGAAGAGACACCCTAATTGCAGGTCAGCGTCAGAACAGAAAATCATAACCTCATCAAGTCCTTGCTAACAAAATTAAATTAAAAATTAATTTTTTTCTCGCGGTTAATTTTTTTATTGAATCATCAGATTAAAATGGTCAATTTCGTTGCTATTTGCTCCTTGAAAAGGATGAATAGTATTATTTGTCGGCTCGGTTATTGTTTCTTACATACAATGATTAAAAGTGTAAATTATGGCAGTGTTTCGACAGGTATTTCTCTGTTTGCAGGCTCTATGATGGGTATCAGCGAAGACGTGAAGGAGCAATTATCAGATGCAGCTATGCACACGGGAAAGGCCTACGCAGCCGTAAGAAGGGGCCGAGACCCGGAAGCTGAAGTGGAGCCTTCGAGGCCCATGCCTAATAGTTCACTTTTTGGGACCGATCTTCAAAGCGCCTCAGGCAAGCATGAAGTCAAGACCATGTCCCCTGAGGTGCTTGTCATGAAGCCCATCCTCAGGTTCCTACAGCTCCTTTGTGAGAACCACAACAGGGACCTTCAGGTTAGTGAGCCTTCTGGGTCCTTTGTATTATTTGATCAATAAATACTTGAATAGCAGAAAATGAAAACTTGAACAAATATCACTTTTTCCTTCTCTTCTTCAACCAGAATTACATCCGCAAACAAGATCACAGTAAGACCAACTACAACTTGGTACACGAGACTCTTCAATTTCTGGACTGTATCTGCGGCAGCACGTCTGGGGGACTGGGCCTGCTCGGTCTATACATCAACGAAAGTAACGTGGGACTAATTAACCAATGCCTGGAGAGTTTAACAGAGTACTGTCAGGGACCGTGTCATGAAAATCAGGTGCGTGACATCTTGTGTAACTTGTTTTCACGCAACAGGTCGTCACTCCCGTCAAGTAGTTTTGTGGGTCGTAAAAATTGTCATGGGAGACATACCTTATGCAATACTCCCTTTCAAAGAAGGCGCCACATTCTGAAACGCCTTTTTCTGGATTTACGGTTTTGGAAACACCCTATGTTTTGTCTTGTATATTGTTCTGTTTTGGTCTTGAAGTGTTGTTTCTTTGTAATATTAGCAAAGAATAGTTTTATTCATAGTTGGTATTATTTTTCTTCGTATCTTTTTTTCAGACCGCCATCGCCCTCCACGAGTCAAATGGTATTGATATTGTCATAGCTTTAGTACTGAACGACATCAACCCGCTAGGAAGACAACGGATGGACTTGGTGCTGGAACTTAAGGTTTGTGCAAATTTCGCCAACTGGCACTTGAACCCTTCGTAAAGGGCAAGTCTCAGATCATCGCTTCCACTTAAACAAAAGACTTCTCCTAGCTGGATCAAGTCTTTAAAAAAAGTTCCGTTGGACTTTTGACGGTTCCGTATGATTTCATAAGGTCCCGCCCCCGAGTTCGGAAGTTTCCGTGGTTTCCGGTTTTTGGTGGATTCAGTACAATACTTTAGAACGTACTGAATCGAACTTCGAGTCATATTTGGCGGGGTTTTTTTTTGTTCAGCCTAAGAGCATAATCAATTTTTCCCTTTGCGTTTGGTCTAAAGATGATTAAACTTTATTAATCAATGCATATTTCTTATAGAACAACGCATCAAAAACCCTTCTGGCCGTTATGGAAAGCCGTCTCGATACAGAAAATGCCGAGAGGATTCTGTACAACATGACACCTCAACAACTGGTAAAGTCTTGTCACGAAGATTATTGTTTCTTACTCAATTAGAGAAGTTTTCATTCATCAAAAGTGATCCTGGATTGCTTTGCTTAACTTTGCTCTGCGATTGGTCTAGAAAACCCGCGCCACCATTACAACCAATCAAATGCAAAACTACAACCAATCCCAACCTGGTAGCCCGCGTTTTCCCGCGCTTCGAGCAGGTTGCGTGTTGTTAGTTTAAGTTCTCATTGGTTAACTTCCTCAGTTAAAAACTGCTCTAAAGCTAAGTATCTGAACAACTTATGTACAAATTCAAGAGCCACGGAGGGGGGAATTTCTCCTTGTAATGTAGAAGGAAGTCCCAGCAAAGCCTATAAGGCTCAACCTCGTTCGCAGGGTCTCTCTTCTTCACTTCCTTTAGGGTGAGAGGGAGAGAGAGAAAACCAAGGTCTCTCTCTCCCCTCAAAGGAAGAAGAGAGACCCTGGGAACGAGGTTGCATAAGGCTTTGTAATGCTCGCTTTTTCGAAAGGAGGTTGGTGCTTATCTCGGATTAAAAGTTAAATTGGGTTTGGATTTACTTGCATCAGTATGCATATTATCCATGCTGTTCTCAATACATTTATTAAGGTGCTTTCAACGAAAGCCGGTTTGTTTAACAATCAAGAGCTTCTTTTGTTGGTGATCATTTCTTCTGTTCTCATGACCTTTATGTGCATGTGATTTAGGAAAAACATTGTAAGGTCAAAGGGCTGAAAATCAAAGCAAAACCAATTGAATAGATAAGTTTTGGGGACAACTGCTGCCGTTTGTGTGTTTTTACCTTCTCTGTTTGTTTGTATTTTAAGGTTTTTGTTGTTTCAGTATCTTGGATTTTAACATCTTAGGTGGATGTTTGTAAACAAGCGTATAACCAGGAGGACCTTGAAGATGAGAATGAATGTGAAGTTTCTTGTCGCGATGTCGGACACAACATTTTCATACTCGCTCATCAGGTACTGAAATAAGTTCAAAATAACTGAATTGCACAAAACTTTTATGAGAGAAATCTGAATGGTGATTTCTCGTGTGGAGTCCGGGACTTAGTCTCGATAAAGACGGTTAATTTCAATTTGTAACCGAAAGTTCTTAAAATTTAAAACCGGAAATTGTGTTAGGAATAAAGCATGCAGTTCTTATTCAAACCCCTGAGTGAAGAGAAATAGTCGGATAGGTGAGCGTCTTGTCCAAGAACACGACACAGATTGCCGGGGTAAGGATTCGTATCCGTACTCAAATCCCGTTGCGTTAACCCTTTAACTCTCAGATCTCATAAGGAATTCTCTTTACTGTCTGCTATACAATTCCTGTGATGTTATCTTAGAGAATTCGCTATTGGATCAACTAATAATCCTCTGGTTGATATTTTTCTTTATTCTCATCACTTGTCTGCTTGATATTGTATTGATATTATAGGGAGAAATTCTGTCTTGGTCACACATGGGATTTGAAGGGTTCAGTATGGATTGAACCACTCCATTACCAGTTCTTGGGATTTTTCTCAGTCTGGCTTAATTCTTTTTTATAAACAGAACTACACTCATACCTTGTCTGATTTGCAGCTTTCACATCAGAATAAAGATCTGGCGAGTTTACTCAAACCGAGTGCGTCAGCAGAATCGGATGAGATGCACGGTGACAGCGCTCTGGAGTATTACGCAAAACATACGGCACAGATCGAGGTAAACAACTCCAAATAAATACAGCAAGACTGTTTTATCTCACCTACAGATAAATTTCAGTAAAGCGTCGAATGTGATCCAGGAATGCATTGGTTTTGCTTAACTTTTGATTGGTCCAGTGACCTCTCACCACTTTCTCAACCAATCAGACGCAAAACTTAAACCAATCACAACTTCGTCGCCCGCCCGATTTTAGACACTAGTGTCCGATTTTTCTATTTTGGCTACTTGTGTCCACCTTGTCATTCTGAACACCAGCGTCCAATTTATGATTTTAGCCACTAGTGTTCGCTTTGTGATTTTGGCCACTAGTGTTCAATTTATGATTTTAGCCACTAGTGTCCGATTCGTAATTTTGGCCACTAGTGTCCGAATTGTGATTTTGGCCACTAGTGTCCGATTTTTTATCGTGGCCACTGGTGTCAGATTTTCTGTTTTGGACACTAGTGTCTGGTTGTAGGTTTTAGCCACGTGTCGCTGATTTAGATGTTGGCCACTAGTGTCTAATTTTGACACCAGTATCCGATTTTAGAAACCAGTTCCGATTGTAGGCAGTAGTGTCCTTTGTTTGGCAATTGTGTCTGATTTTTTTTCAGTGTCCAATTTTTGACGTTTTAGTCCGATTTCAGACATTACTGTCCGATTTTGTATTGATTGAACAAAGCCATTATTTGATTGGACAATGTCCGTTGGCTGGCCGTTATTTCGAGCCTTTATGCGGCTGATGAGGATTGCAAACGGATTGAAAATTTTGCGCCAGATGTTTCTAAATAAACACTATGCATGTTAGCTTAATGATTTCTCGTCGTTTTTCAAACTGATTTCGCCCTGCTTTTGTTTTAGATTGTTCGTCGCGATCGTACAATGGAACAAATTGTTTTTCCTGTACCCAACATTTGCGAGTTTCTGACCCCTGAAAGCAAAATAGACGCGTATCAGACGTGTGAGAGAGACGATCAGAACAGCAAGGTTAGTGATCTACTTCCAATTTCTCCTCACTTGTTAGAACATTGTTAGTCAGATATTGTTATGACAGTAGTGAATAATTTTGCCTTAACGTCAGTTCCAACACTAAATTCTCCCAAGGAACTCTAAAGAACTGCATAACGATACGTGTAGGGAATATCACGTTCGATCTCCGGTCTGACTGATTATCCTTTCATCATTTTTTTTTTTTAAACGACGTTTAACTCTTTGCACTGTAAGATCAGTATGCATATTCTCTACACTGTTTTCCGTACATCGTCTAAGGTGCAGACCATTAGCATCTGTTTGACAGTCAAGAGCTTCCTAAGTTAGTGATCATGTCCTTTGCTCTCGTGACTTCAGTGTGATTCAGGGTTGAGGAGGAGAATTTAGATGCTAGTCACTCTAAGGGGTCCAAAGTTTATTAGCTTCAGAATTACTGTAATCTTTTAAAAGTTTCTCCCTTTGTAGTACACGGGTATTTACAAGTATTTAACATAATTTTAAAAATTGGCGAGTTTTTGAACGCTTAAAAATTTCTAATTAGCGATTGAAGTTCTGTTTTGGCCAAAAGAATTCTCTTCTTATGACGCAAACGAAATGTTGAATATAATTTCAATTTTTTTTTCTGTCTGTGTAGATTTCAGATTTCTTCGATAGAACCGAGGAACTTTTTAGGGAGATGCAATGGCAGAAGAAACTGCGAGGTAACTAGTTAGAAACTCTGATTATTTTTCATTCAGGAGTTGAGAATGTTTTTTTTTTGGTTGGTATACACTTTTTTCCTAGCTGCCACATTTCTGGATGAAAACCCTGTAATTGTAAGATATGTAAATTGACGTCCCTCCCTCCTCCCCTCTCGCGTAACGTTATCTACATTCTCCATAGGGGGAGGGAAACGGGTTGTCTTTGTCGCGGCTTCACTGAGTCCGAAAATGTACAAATTAGACCTGACGCACTCTTGTGGAAAGAAACTACTATGAAACTACCTTAAGATTGCGCGACAAGTTATGTTAATTCAACCAACCTATTGAGACTGGTGGCTTTTTTCTTTGTTACAGAAAGTCGATTTTTATTCGGAGTAAGCAGCCGAATGACTCTGTGGGAACAGATTTCCATCAATTTAGCAATCCTGATCAATTTGCTCGTGGCGTTCTTTTATCCGTTTTCCGACGGGCCAGGTGGTGAGTGTCATGCTGTGGTTTTGTTATCTTTTATGTTCCCGGACAGATACTCAGCTTTGTGTTATTTTAAAACATCCTGACAGAATTTTTGTTCGTTTCGTGGGTGGCTCGTACGCTAGGCGAGTCACGTGAGTGACTGCGCGCGCCTGAAAACGTAAGGAAGTGAATCTGTAGGGACAAAAATACCTCTCATTGCTTTCTTAAGGAACTGTTCAATGAAATTAGGGTGAGAGTATTTTTACTTTTGTTTTCCTTTTTTCCTTCGTTTGTAGAACTTGACGGACGTCTGTCTGTACTGGTGTGGCTGGCCATGATTGTCTCTTTTGTTATAATTGTTACCTTTCCTCGGCCGTCTGGGATCAGGACGTTTGTAGGCTCAACGATACTGAGGCTGATATTTTCCGTTGGACTTGAGCCTACTCTTAAAATACTAGGACTGGCAACCGTAAGTAACAATGACAAAAGAAAAACGACTCATAAATAAAACTGGTTTAGTTTTTAGACTTTTCCGTGTACAAAAATCCAGATTAATTTAAATATCCTTTTAGATAGCCTTTAATTCAACAGGTTTTAGGGGCTTCAATAATGTTTACATAAGCGGCTGCTGATGGTGTGAAAAATGTTTGTGCGTAAGGAGAGACGCATAAAACCTGAGGCCTGCTCTTAGGAGCGTAGCTGTCAAACGTCGGGCATGCGCGTGGGGATCTGGCCGGCTACGCGCCAATTTCCCGCCGAAACGTAGGAAACAACCGCTTTCTCGCAAAATAAGCAAAAGAAAGCACGCCACCTACCCTCTACAACGTTCACACATGCGCAGACGTTTGATCACTGTGTTACTCGCAGGCTAAACAGACGGCGATGAGAACTGAAAAGGGATCAGTCGTCCCTAACATAGCGTGAAGGGGGGGGGGAGGACTAACCCCTCCCCCGCAATAAATAATGACGGGTCTTAAGTATTGAAATTTTAGCGTTCCCATTTGCCCAAAAAACTTACAGCCATTGTTATTTTTCAGGTCGTTCTGAAAGCAATATTCATTGTAAGTTATGTTGGAAATCGGGGAACTTTTGACCACAATGTGCGCCGGCTTCTTTCGGACAGGAATCTCGTTCTCCATCTGATGTACTTCACGTTTGGCTTCCTCGGGTTAACACTGCACACGTTCTTCTACAGTATTTTGGTCAGTGTCGTGATTAAGTATCACTTTCTCGTTATCTTTTGTGATGATTTCACCTAGTTAATTAAGGAGAATGAAGAATTTGACCATCAATTAAAACTGTTGTTTTCCAGAGTAAACTGGAGCGACCTACTTTGAGATCACTCCGGCGCAATTTCGACAATATTCTGGAACCTCCAGCTCCAATGCGTTACTGTTTTTATCTTCTTTTCTTTTTTCAGCTTAGTGGAATAAAATGTTTTATTCTTCGTTTAAATTTTTAAAGAGTGATTATTATGTAGCAAGAAAATACATGGTGCGCCACGAATAAGCGAGAATCTAAATTATCCTACATAAGTTAACCTTACAGTCACACACAGACTATATTTTGGGCTGGGAAATAACCCGTGAGAATACTTTCGAAGCCTGTATATTTCTAGCCTTCAATGAGGAAACGCCTTTTCCTCTCCCGAGAAGTGCCCTGAAGAGAGGTTCCACCCCTGCCCCCACACCACCCCGCCCCTAATCAGCACTTCTTGAAGCTGTGACAACAATCGTCTGTAACTTAGTTTATTTTCCTTTTCAGCTCCTGGACGTTATCTTCCGTGAGGACACGCTGTTAAACGTGATAAAGAGCGTAACCCGTAATGGCCGGTCAATTATCTTAACTGCTGTCTTGGCTCTCATACTCGTCTACATGTTCTCCATCATTGGTTTCCTGTTTCTCAAAGACGATTTCTTAGTAGAGACGGATCCAACGCCTTCTCTTAAGCTCGGTGAGTGAATTACCCCTCATAGAAGCTGTACGCCATGAAAGTTACTGAATTTTGTTTTCTACTCATCTAGCTGCTTCTTTCAACTGTGCGCATGTCTTCACTTTCTTTTTCTTGTATTCGACAGCATCCTCAGCTACCTGCGATGCTGATAAGAGCTGCGAAGGTTCCATTTCACTCTCGGAAAAAAGCTCAGAAGGAGATGACTCAGTAAAGGAACGTGCCTGTGAGACCCTAATAATGTGCATCATCACTACTCTGAACCAGGGGCTCAGAAATGGAGGGGGAATCGGAGACGTCCTCAGACGGCCCTCCATGAAAGAGAACATGTTCGTGGGACGTGTTGTATACGATTTGCTCTTCTTCTTTGTGGTCATCATTATTGTTCTTAACTTGATATTTGGCGTCATTATTGATACGTTTGCTGATCTGAGGAGCGAGAAGCAGAACAAAGAGGAGGTGCTCAAGAACACGTGTTTTATTTGCGGTAGGTAATCATGAATTTTTGCGTGTGTTCTTGAGGAAAAATTTTGAACGAGTGTCGATTTTAATCCGGAATAACTTACGCCACTTTTGCTTCGCTTCTCTCGTTGATTGGTCCAGAAAATTCACACCATCCTCTCAACCAATCAGAATTAAAACTGGCGGCAATCGCGACCTGGTCACTCGCATTTTCCCGCGCTTCAAGTAGCACGCTGAGCAGCTTGTTTACTTGCGGTTTGAGATCCCATTGGTTCCCGATATTTTTTTTTTTCGGCAGTTGTAATTGAAAATTGGAATTCCCTTACCTCACTCTTACACTGATTCTTTCCTACGTTTTTACTGTCAGGTCTTGATCGGTCGGCCTTCGACAACAAAGTGGTATCATTTGATGAACACATCAACTCAGAACATAACATGTGGCATTACCTGTACTTCATAGTCTTGCTCAAAGTCAAGGACACGACCGAGTTTACTGGACCCGAGAGTTACGTCAGTCTAATGGTCAAGGTACATCATGAATATGGAAAACGCTTCATGAAGTGAGGCAAGGGGAGGGGTGGGAGGGGGAGGGTTTCAATGAAGTTTGAACGAGTCCTTGGGCTTAAATTGCTCACCGAAGGTGGGATGACTCCTAATGATCGGGTACAACCATTTTTAAGCTACTTGTAGCGACACATCGTGAGCTAACCTACGCGGCGTTTCGTCCTTGTTTTAGGAACACGATCTGGATTGGTTCCCACGCATGCGTGCTATGAGCCTGGCCATTGACGAAGGAGAAAGTGAGCAAAGTGAAATTAAGAATCTTCAGGAAAAGCTGGAAAGCACCACAAGACTGGTATACACTTTGTCGCAACAACTCACAGATCTAAAGGAGCAGGTAGGGCTTGCAGATCAGACCCTATTGCACCTCTCTGTCTCCACCCCATGCCACCTAATCTTCTCTCCTGTAACCTTACCTCACTGCCTTTTCTGCTTCCCTTAAACCTTGTCTTACCTCTTCGTCGCCCCCTCCTGATCTGCCTTCCTTTTTGTCAGACCCCTTATATCTGTCTGGCTTCCTTGTCTCCCTTCCTCTTTCCTTGTTCACCTCCTTGTTTGCCTGTCTCCTTCCTGTCCTTCTTGTCTCCTACTTTTCAACCTTACCTGCCTTTTCGTCTTCCTCCCTCCATTCTGCCCACCTCATCGTCTCCAACCTCGCCTTTCTTCTTCTTCTTCCCCACTACCCCCCCCCCCCCCCCTTCCCCCATCCAACCCTGCCTTGCCTCCTTTTCACCCCCATCCAGCCCTATCTGCCTCTCAGTTGCTTCGCCTTAATTTAAAAATTTAAAATCTACTGCCTTTGCTTTTGGTATTTTAAACAGATGACTGAACATCGCAAGCAGAGACAACGAATCGGTTTGTTGGGCCCTCACTCTGCATCTGCACTAAATAACAGTCTTACGACTAACAACTTCAAGATATGAATGTTTATTTGGAAACAAGAAAGAAAAGTGATCGACAGAAAAGAAGAGAGAAATACCGGACGATGAAGTGAAAGAGATTGACAGTTGAACGGAATCGGGCACTGCAACGAGCGTGGTTGGGTTGAGAACCCGTGCAACAAGGATACTTTTTGTAACAGCTACCTGTTTATGGCCCAAGACAGATAATTCTCTCATGATTGAATGTCTGAAGGAAAATCTCGCACTTAAGAGACGAAGAAAGTAGCTTACTCAATCTGACTTAAAATCAGTAACGTTCTCAAAAATATAAATTTATATGAACGTAACTTTTGACGCAAAAAGAAATTTCATTTCTTGAAGATCTAGACAAAATATGCTTAGCTTGATTTTTGAGAACTTGATTATTGCGCTTTGTTGATTGCCCGGCTTAAGTGAGAAAGGTGTAGAGATCATCATCTTTCACTGACAAATAAAGCGTAGAAAACTTGGCGAAAAAGTTTTGAAGACAAAGGACATAGTGCGGTTATCTGAGACAGTGGTGATTTGTAGAGTTAATGGATCTATAGTGATATGCAGTGAGATTTCTGGAAAACATTACGATCTTATTGCCCATAATTTAAGAACTAGATGTCAAGGTTGAAATTCTTCTAATGGTCTCGTTACAAGTCTTATGACTCTGGTCGTGAGAATTCATATGTAGATAAACAAATTTTTATGGATGACTTGAGTTTCTTTTCTTTTGACAAGTATCCCACCTTCAAGCTTTCAACCCAGTCCCACGCGCTTACCACCAGGCCATGGAGCTTTGATCGCTCACCTTCTTTGGCGTCACACAACGCTTGCTATACGTGACGACTCTCGGCCAGTAGTTGACGAGAGTGAGATGCGCTAAGCTTTGCGGAATCACCACGTCAGAGTTGATATTTGTTGGAAAAAAAGCTACTGAAGAAGCAGGCTTATTGACTTATGAGCTCAATTAACCTAGTAGTAAAAAGTTCTCTTTTAATCTGATAGAATTTCCTTTTGTTTTAAGTTCACGTGCAGGTAACACTCAGGCAATCCCCACAGTGTTTCGATTCCCATCGCCCAACCAATGCAACCTATTTTCTTGTTGTTTTGATGTTATTCAGAGAGGTAAAAGAATTCCATTCTCTATCAATTTTATTAAAAAGCAGATCATCAAGACTTTATTTTGAATGGGAATCGTGTTTACCGTGTTTTCTAGCTTGTCTTTTATATCGTAAATGTCTGAGTTACAAAAAAGGTTAACAGGGCAATGCGCACAACTAAGCTTTTCCAGAACCCAAGCTTCATCGATCAATTACTTCTTTACTTTTCTTTAACTGTTAATTACGTGAAACTGTTCTTTGTCCGATCGATCGACAGACCCAGTCTCCCGAAAGGGAGGGCAACGAGGAACAAAACATCAAATGAGCATGGCTTAATAAATGAAAATCCTAATTTAAGTCTTGCAGGCTATAATATTCATCATTTCCTTCTATTGATTTATCAGTCTCTTCCTCAGCAATCTCATCTTTCTGAGCACCATTTTCCGTTTTCTTGTGGCCTCCATTTTCTGTAGCGCCTTCCATTTTCCTGGCTGGGAGGACTTGGACAAGAGACTCTTTCCAGTCCTTTGTCTGTGAGTACAGCAACATAATCTCAAACACATGATTCACGGTAATCACAGTTCTGGATTTCAACTTCACACACTCACTAATCGGTAACCGCGCATGCGCGATTCCACGCTCGACAGCAAGCCTGTAGCACAGTCCTTTGTGATGATTATGGTCAACAAGGCCACCAATTATGTACGCCTTAGATTCATCGACTTCGCTCAAAACATAAGGTGAATCCGAAGTTAGATACACTACGTCCTCTTGCGAGAAAACATCGCCGTAACTTTCTTCCTTTATGTGAACATCCCAACTTGTATATTTACATTGAATTTCATCCAGTATTGTCTTGGACCTGCCGCCAAAGCTTGTGAGGTACAACTGAATAGGTCGGTCGGCTCGTCTGTTGATGGAGTACGTTCTTTGGATTTGTTTCAAGAGTTTATGAATATCGCGATCGGTCATTAAATCGTCGAAACTCAGGTCTATTGCGACACGAAGAGAAGAAGCATGTTCAGAGTTCATCGACCTAAATTTCTTTTTCTTCTCACAAAAAAGTTTCTCTTTGTTGTTAGTCAGATTGTCGCTTGCAGAACTCACGCCTTCCTGCCCATCCTCTGTCTCCTTCTCCGCCTGTAGTTTTCTCTTTTCCGCCTTCTTCCTCTCCTTTTTTTCTTTTCTTTTAATTTTCCTATGTTCCACGAAAAATTGACGCTTTTGGAGCCTTTTTCTCTGTCGCTTTGACATTGTTGATTGATCAATGTCCTTCGATTCCTCTATATCGCCTTCCATGTTTGAAACCTGACTATATCTTGGAAGTGAGAGCAGTATGTCACTGGTAATAAATATAACCGTAAAATTTTACTCTTGAGGTTGGCTGCTTAAATTAACGCGATAATATATACGAAAGCGGTGTTTCACGTTCTCCTTGCTACGCGTCGGCCATCTTTAAAATGTCCCAGAGTTCTTAGAAAGCTCGTTCGTTTCCAGGAGAGCTCTGAATAAATTTTGGCGCCTGGTAACGAACTTTCAAAACTACACTACACAAACCCACAAACCCGTCTCTTTGACTTAACTTTAGATCTTGCTTCATTTGAACGTATACATTTTAGTGTGTGAAATGGCTGGAAATATTGAGCACCATATCCAAAATACCTTGCTACAAGCAACAAAGGTAATGGAAGAGCAGATCGATTCAGAGATTGAAAAACTGGACCGTATGACTTCGGACGAAATGGAAGAGCTTCGTGAAAAACGGTTAGAGCAACTGAAAAAACAAGAGCAGCAAAAACGGGAGTGGCTTCACAAAGGACACGGCCAATACAACGAGATTCCGGGAGACAAAGAATTTTTCAAGGAAACAAAAGACAGTCCCAGAATCGTTTGCCATTTCTTTCGCGACAGCACTTTTCGTTGCAAGATAGTTGACAAGCATTTGGCACTTTTGGCACCGAAGCACATTGAAGCAAAATTTGTCAAAGTGGACGCTGAACGGTGTCATTTCCTTGTAGAAAGATTAAACATTAAAGTCCTGCCGACCATTCTGCTTATCAAAGATGGTAAATTCCTCGATCGTATCGTGGGGTTCGATGAGTTAGGAGGTCATGATGAATTCAGCACCGCGATGATGGAATGGAGAATAGCGCGCTCTGGTGTTATTAATTACTCTGGGGATCTGAGTGTACCACCTGATCAGGCTAACAAGAAAAGTTCCACAACGATATTAAAGAAATCAATCCGGAGCAGAAGAGATATGGACGACGATGAAGATTCTGAGGATGATGATTAACTTTAGACCATTAACACTTTAACTCCCAAGATCTGATAGCTAATTCTCCCCTCAAGCTGTTACAGGTTTCCTTGTACATAAGTCAGGAGAATTTGTTGTTAGATCAAGATAACAAACTTAAACCCAATAAATTTGAGAGTTCTCATTACCTGGTTGTTGGATGATGTATGGATATTTTAGGAAGAAGTTACATTTAATCACTTCTTCTCCATTTTTATGGTTACTCGCATGTAATGGTTTATCAATCCAGTCCATGATGTAAATGAAGAAATTTTAAGGATGATGATTAACCCTAGACTGTTACCAAGCTTGTATGGTTGCTTAACCCTTTAACTCCCAAGATCTCATTAGCAATTCTCCTTTCTGTCTGCCACACAGTTCTTGTGATGTTAGTTTGGAGAATTTGGTATTGAATAAACTTATAATCCCCTGATTGATATTTTTCTTTATTCTCATCACTTGTCTGCTGGATATTGTATTGATATTGTAAGGAGAAATTCTGTTCTGGTCACTCATGGTAGTGAAAGGGTTAATATTTTATCACTCCAAGAATTCTTCTAGTTATGTATAAATTGTGTGACTGATTTCTATGTATTTAAAGGAGACTGTTTTTAAAGTGAATGTGAACTGCCAGATATGGAGAAAATGTGCTATCACATGAAACAAAATAATAATCAAGACAGCCTTAGTAGACTTGTTTTCCCAAGTGCCTGCCTTATTTATCAACTGTGAGATCTTGTTTAAGGCAGAGTATCTGATGATTGAGTGCAATTAAAGCTCAAGTGCAACTGTGTCTCTCTGTTGCTTGCATGGAGTTCCCCAAAGGGTGTTTGATTTTTTTTGTAGAGGTAACTGAAAACAAAGAAGTCAAATGCAGTTGAGACTTTAAAGGGTCATAGTAGCTCATAGAAGCTCATATCGATTTTGTTGTCAGTTATGTTTTTGAATACATAGTGAACAAAAAAAATAGTTCTTTAACAAAAAGTTATCCTTGGGCACAATTTTGCACACCTATTGATGACTAGGTGTGAGTTTTATGAGGCATTCCTTTCACATAATTTCAGAAATTCCATAAAGCTGTGCTCTAAAATAAACCCTAGTTTTTTAATACACTCATGCTTCATGCTCTTGATAACACACTTCAGACTTGTTTGTCTCCCTCTGATACAAAAAATAACATGAACAGCAAGGCTAAAAGATGAGTAGAAATTTCTTATGAACATATATTCTTTTTTTTCTTCCAAAAAAATATACATTTAGTTTTTTTTTAGTAGTAAAGTTTGTGTTTTAATACGCCTCATTTCCTATTTTTTGTAATTCATGTTTATTTAACCCTTTAACTCTTATGAATGACCAAGACAGAATTTCTCCTTACAATATCAATTCAATATCAACCAGGTAAGTGATGAGAATTAAGGAAAATATCAATTTGGAGATAATTAGTTGATTCAATACTAAATTCTTTGAACTAACATGATAAGAATTGTATGGTTGACAGAAAGGAGAATTTCAAATTTGATCTGGGAGTTAAAGGGTTAACAAGCCTTGATTAAATCTGAAACATTTGTCTAAAATATTTCCTTTTTTTCCTTTTATCTGAAAAGTATCAGAGCTTGAAACAATGAATGAAACAGTATTACAACATTAAAATGCGAGATGCGAGAAATATACTTCATTGCACAGCCAAAAATGGCTGATTTTTAAAAATTAATTAGAAGAAATGCTACCTACTGATGGTGAACGATTTTTCAAAAGCCAAAAATCCCCCAGATTTCCTTGCGGGTGAAGCTTACAATAACAAATCACGTGATAACACTCTCCACCATTTGTTCGCGCCGTGGGCCGATGAGAGGCTCGCGCCAAAAACCAAATATAAACCATGTTTACGTCGTTATTCCACGAATTACGGGTTTGTTTACATCTTAGATGCTAGAAATCCTCTCTGGTTATTTCTTGGATCTGCCTAAAAAATCCTGGAATTCTACCAGAGCTCGTGTCTTTTCCACCGAAGCAGCGAATGTTGGAAGACCGATGCTCATAAGTGAAAGATCTGCCCTGGACGTGCTGGTCATAGAATGTAAGCAACGTGAATATTTTCCATAGAATTTCTAGGACCCTTTCCAATAACTACTGCGATTTGTAAATTTACTATCCATATTTTTGAAAAGGGAATGTGTTACTGTGCTGTCTGTCTACGTATTTTATGTAGAAAACCTTCACTTGTTGCTAGCAATGTTTGATTGTATAATTTATTACTGTTAACAATCTGATGGAACTTGTCTCGTTAAAATTCAGGGTGCCTTCCCCCTGATTTTCATCTCCTTGTTTCACCTCAGATTATTTAATTTAAGATCGCTCGCTTATTTTCGTGATGTTAGAAGTAACTCTTTTATTTCTGATTGCATTCAGCTCTTACACGTTAGCGTGAGTGTGCTTCAGCTATCTCATTTGCAATCCAAGTCAGTTTACCAAAAGTTGTAAAAAATTGTGATCACTCATACAAGCCAGTAATAACTCACCGAAGACTTAAAATCTTAAATTTTATAATTAATCCCTGACAAATGTAACTGTGCCTGTTGAAGCCATGTATGTAATTTCAAAGAATTTTTTACAAATATTCAATAGTAATTAGTCCACCAAAGTTTTTCTCCATAACCCCTTCGGCTTTAAAACTATTTCTTACGATAGCTGGACGAAAATGCCTTGTTTTCACATACTCTAGAAGCTGAATTACCTTGCTAGCAATTTTTCAAATTTTTTAAGCTGATCAGAAGAAAACGTGTGTGAAAGTTTGATTTTGGTTTTTTTGGACGTAAATGTGCTTAGCCACTCTCTAAACCTTAGCCCCTCCTGTCCTCTTAAACCTCACGGTTGCGATCGATGTTTGGAGCCAGGCGGGAGAAGCTCGCATTTTTGCGTGAATTTATGACCGTCACGAGGCTCGATTTTATACTGAAGACAAAAAGTATTACTCTTAAGACTCATGAAAACTCGCTGTCGAAATTATGGGAGAAGGCAAAGGTAGGAATTCTTGGTAAAACTTCGCTCTCGTTTTCGCTTTGTCAAGAAGCTATCCAAAAGTGAAGGCGACTGACTGCCTTTATTAGCTTATATTTTTGTACGTTATCTTGTATGCATCCTCTTAAACCACTGATACTCCATGTCGGGCTTTTTCAGTGCTATATTATGGGCCAAAACTTCAGGTTTGAAGCAAGGTTGTGTTGACAGGAAGTACTTGTATTAATATTTGAGGTACTGCTCGATGATAATCGCCATTATTATGTTTGCTTCTTCGCTTAGGATGACCGCCGGCGGCTTGCCTCCATCCAAGCAAGAAAGCACGATCAAAGATATTGAAAAAGGTGGCGATTTGACAGACGAGATAGCTGGTAAAGACTCACAGGTTTTGCACGAAACACGATCTCAAAAACAGGCTTCGAAGAAACGTCTTCACGAAGACCATGCGGAAATTTTAACAAAGGAGTCCAGTTTTACTGCAACATCTGAAACAACTAATAGCTCTGTTGGTGTTGCGACTAGGAGCAGTACAAGACCTAATAAAAGAATAAAATTGTCTGTTCCTCAATCTAACAAAGTTGGAAATCAAGGTATGTATACGTTTGTTGTAATTTTTTTGGCACGAACGAACTTTTCATATCAGACCGCCATTTTGAGCTACAGGAGAAGCGGATTCAAAACATGAGATTCAGCTACCATTTATTTTGAGATATTGGTGGAAATAAACCAGTGTAATTTTGCGTTCTTCGTGGATTATTTTTTTTATTCACATTTGAACAGAAACATTTGTAAAATTATTGTCTCAAAACGACCAACTTCAGTTGTAGTTTTGGTCTGCTTCAGACTTGTTTACAGTATGTCGGCTAAGTGACACGTCTCACCATGTCAGTTATCACGCAAAACGAAATCTCCTCTCGTCTAACGTAATTTTTAATAGCTGAAAATTTATTTTACATTCTGTACAGATGCTAACATGAAATACTGTTAGTTCCTGAAATTTTTGAGTGAGAACATTATAAAAAATATATATTATAATTCTCAGAACTTTGCGATACCTTGCTTATCATGACTGTTTAGTAAGCATTATGCAGAGCTCCCTCACTATCTGCAATTTTGGCTAAAAGAGCTTTGCTAAGTTGGTTAGCTTCTGAACAATCTCACACCCAATAGATAGCTTGCCATTTACATGTATTAATTGTTACTCACAGCAGTTTAATTTTCACTTTACAATTTTGCAAGGAAACCTGATGATATAGTAGCCATAAGCTCTTGTGATTCAAAATCTTGCTGTGATCATGGAATCAATCTTCCAGATTTTGTCTGGCAAAATCTTTTTGCAGGAAGAAGTATTTCACAAAAATTTGCCTTGTCATGCGAAAAACATTGTTATACCAACTTGTTTCCATGAGTATTGTACCAACAAATTTTCACATAGTGTTTTGTGAAAAAAGAAATGTATTTGTTTTCCTGAAGGAGAAGAAGAATAATAATGCATATTTACACTTGTGATTTTGCAGCAACTGTCTTATATAATTCATAGATGCTAAGTTTTCACTGTTGTTTCAAAGCAAAATGCTACCTTAAAGAAATCTCGCATTGCTACATCTGTTTATAAAATTCTTTAGAAGCCTTCACATTAATCTAAGGAATGAATTTCAAATTTTGCAAAAATAATTCTTTTTGTGCACAAAATTTAAAGACGCACTCAAATTGCCACTTGCTGTAAAGCAAAAATCAGGTGCAAATTGCCTGTCAAATAACAGAGCTACTTGTTTTTCAAGGAAGTTGCTTGTCAAACACATTTCCCTTTCCTTTTTTAAGTAAGAGGATAACTTAATTTCCACAGAAAGTTCTGGAAGCATTTTGAAACTCAATTCATGAAACTTGAATCTCGAGACTCTGTTCCTGAAAGTGGACTCTCAAAACTTGATTCATGTTAATTGAGACTCAACTTGAAACTCAATTCTGGGAAGTTTTGTCAGTAGAGTTTCCAGTTGAGACAGTAAACCTATTGTATGGGGACTTCTTTGACTCTATGTGATACTCTTGTAGTTGAGTGTTAACTCAGAACTGCATGTAGCAATTAAGGAATAATGAGAGGAAATCAGTGTTTTCTTTTCATAGAAAATTGATGTCACTGAAAAAACTGCATCTTTTGTTTTCTGTTTTGTTTTGGTTTCTATACAGAAAATAGTACTGGTTGTGAGTTAGTGACCTCATCATCATCATCACCACAGACAAACAGGAGGAAAAAACAACCAAAAAGGCAATGGGAATCTTGGGGAAAGGCAGAAAAGGACACCTTTTTTGAGGCTCTTCATGAATATGGTAAAGACTTTGATAAGATCTGCAACTTCATTGCAGCAAAACATAAAAGAAGGGGTGATCCTCCTGCTCTGATTAAAAACAAAGACCAAGTTAGACATTTTTATTATCGTTCACTGAACAAGATTAACAAATATCTTCCTGCTGAATACCAAAGGGGAAGTGACACCCAACAGAAGATGATTATTGAATTAAAAGGTTTGATTTGTTATGGAGAACTTCGCAAAAAAATATGCGGCTGGAATGACAAACATGGAAAGAAACTGGAAGAATTACTAAATCATGGAACAATCTCTATCCGCAGCAAAGGGAGAAATTTCAAAATTAAGGCCCCTGTATGTCGGGCCCTTAAACGGCTGCAATCAGTTGGACAAGGCAAGGAAGATGGTGATGCTCAACCTCTTACCATGCCAAATAAACTGGTATTAGAACTCATGCCACATGATCATTTAGCTTGGGCTGCAGTTCAGCAACTGTCTAAAAACCCAAGGTTGAGAACGTCTGTGCCAGCAAAGAAACCTTTAAGTGGGATGCTTCATTTCCTTATGAAGAAGTGGCAGATTCTGTCCAGAAAGACTTTAGAACCATTGCAAATGTGTATTGTTGTGCCGCCAAAGTTTCACTTCAGCTCAGACATTATGGAAAAGCAAACCAATTCTGCAGTGAGCAAAATATCATCAGGTGCACTTGGTTTGGTTGAGAACAGCCTTACTACAGATTCAATGTCTCTTGAACCTCTGGAAGAGTTAACAAAATCATGCTCTCCTTCTTTCTCTTTGGAAGAGAAATCTTCAGAGGTCATTTTAAATGGACACCTAGAGAGTTCCTCTAACAATGTGCCTTGCAATGGGTGTAATAATTTATCATCTGAACCAAATACACCAGGCAGTGGTTGTGCTGAAAATTCTGGTCAAACTGATAAAACAATGGATACCTTACTGGGTATGGAAGGTTCATCTCAGAGATATGCTGAAGTAGCATTGGAACCATGCTGTACTTCAGAACCTGTTCAACAGGACAAGGTTGAGTCTTGTAGCAACAAAAACTATCCCTCTCTTTGGACATTAAACACATGTGGGAATATTACTTTTGGAGAAATTTATTGCAAACTCAGAAGACCTCCAAAATTAAAACTGGAGTATACATGGAATGGTATTGAACACAACCTTGCACCTTCACACACTGCCGTTTCTCTGACAAGACTTGTTGATATTGCAGCAGCAGAATTTACCAAAGTAAAAGAAAGCAATGATGAATCCAAAACAACATCAAAGTCATCAGATACATCAATTGGTAAGAACAGCTTATACTCTTCGTCCAAAGACAAAGGAACCACTATGAGTGTTTCAAAAGATAAAGTTGCTTCTAAATCTACACGTCCTGCCTCTAAAACAATTGACAAACTTCCATTTATTCTTCCATCTGTGGTTGCACCAGCCACACAAACATCAACTTCTAAAAGCATTATTTCTGATCTCCCACCACAAACTCGTCCCATGGCCAGGGTTCGTAAAAGGCCACAGAGACCAAATATACACAGAACTTTATTACCACGACCAGTTGGCAGTCCAAGTTCTGTCCCACCTGGAGCAGTGGCAGTGTCTTTTATTCCTCAACCAGGGCAAACAGTCGGCACCATTCTTGCATCTGGTGTGTCCACAACAACCACATCAGGAACAACTCAGTCTAAGACAGTTGTTTCTTCTAAATCACTTTCAGGTTTGTTTTTAAAATTTTGTTACTTTTGGTCTTGTGTACATGTTTGTAAGCATTCTCTTCATAGAGTGAGTTGAATGTCTGCAGACTGGTTTTTTGCAAAACATTAGGCACCCCTGAAAGAAAGATATCACCAGTATTTGTCATTAGTATGAGGCAAATAATATTCTGAGTCCCTTGCAAATAAGTGTTAACAAAACCTACTGCACTATCCACTGGAGAGATATTTATCTGGTAGATAGTGTATCCAGCCTTTGACCACAGCCAAATGCTCTATTAACTGAGTCATAAATAGCTCATTTGTGTTTTTGAGGTACATGTATACAAAGGTACCAGTGTTAAAGTTAATAAATATCTTGACTACTTCTAAGGTCTGCAATATTGAAAAGGTCCTTTACTACAAGAGAAAGCCAGTAGGATTTGAGTTTGGTTGGTGAATTGAGAAAGATGATAAGCTTTCCACTCTGAAGATGACAATATTCTCTGAATTACCTCCCATGCATTTCTTCTTATATTATTTCAGTAATTTTATTTTTAAATGAAATGGTACCCCCTAGTTGATATTCCTAATTCTCTTTACCTACTGTCTTGACAAGTGTTTTATGTTGACATAAAAAGATAAATTCCTTATTGGTCATTCCTTGCGGGGTTGGGGGCGACAAGTGTGTAATCATGAGGACTCATTCCCCAACCATTTCCAATTTCTTGTTCTTTCAAGAATGTTACTTAAATAAATTGTCTAATTTACTTGTCTTGTGTAGCTGTTTTGAATATAATTCCAGACAACTACATCTTATAATGCTTAATGTGTTAAAAATTTTTGTTAGGAACATCTAGTAGCTCTACATCAACAACTGTTTCAAGCCTTGTGGAAAGGCCTTCACCAGCAGCAGCAGCAGCATCAGTTGTGGCAGACAATGGATTTATCAATGTAAACTCAACAGACTTAAGTTTGGAAATGTCAGGATTTTCAGACACAGACCTTCTTGCAGTTGTGGACCATTTTGTCGGCAGCACAAAGTCAATAGCTGACAGTGTTGTAACCACATCCAATTCTGTAGACTCTATCATCGGCCTTGCTCTGGGAACGGCATTGGATGAGAATACAACACCTACATCCATTGCAGGAATGAGTGAAGATTCCAACTCGGCATTTTTAGCTTCTCTTACAAGTTTAAAAACTTCAAATTTAGACTTAGCAACACAGGTGGTGCAGAGAATTGGTTCAGACACCCCTTCTAATGTTCATATTGAGGAACTTAATTCTGGTGTGGCTGGTGGCAGCATGCCATCAAGCGCTACAAGCCCGACCTTGGAGAATATTCTAAACTCGACAAACTCAATCGCACAGTCTCCTACTTTGACTTCATGTAATGTGTTTTTCAATGGTGCAGGACCTATTTGCAGCATTGTTGATTCACAAAGTCAACAAGAAGCACTGATAGATAAAGACAACATGGCTGCATCATCCTTAATTTTATCTCCAAATTCAGAAAGTTCTCTTCAGGCTTCATTTCAGACTCCCTGGTTTAATGGAGAGGTACAGAAATAAAAGTGAACATTAATAATTTTTTTTGGCATTTCCTACTTCTTTTAACTTGCATATTTCTTACCACTGTGTCTTTTTAAGTACAAATTTCGAGGCAACTTGTTTTTAATGACTATTTGTGTCCTTCTTGTTTTAGAATTCTAACTTTTCCATCGGGAGCCTTCTTGGTAAGATTTTGTCACTTAGCATATAATTCCAGTCACTCTCATGAAATATTGTTAGGCAGAGTTAGGTTAAAATTTGGCTTACAAGCATAATTATTAGTTCGGTTATAGCCTGCCCATGTTTTACGGGGGTTTCAAAATGTTTTTGAAGTAGACATTGGACTCAGCAAAAGTAGGGGACTATGAAGAGTTCATTAAGGGCCGAAAGAAAATGATTTTGAGCAGAGTAATATGTTATCAAGTGGCTGGTGAAACTCCTGGAGGAAAAGAGAATTGCTACTTTGCCTGAATGAATGCCAGTCCAAGGCACGTAACCCCCCCCTCCCCTCCCAAGCATAAAGGCTCCCTGGGAGTTAATTGGGACCCATTTATACTTCTGAGTAGTGCTAGACACTATGAGATTAGGGTGCCTTTCCCAAGAGCTCAATGCCAGGGTCCAAAGACAAACTTTTAGGGGGAGGGGTAGGTGTGCAGTTTATTAGATAACGAGAGTGATCCACTTTTTTTTCATAGCATCCATTACATTGACTGTAAGGCTATCATTTTTTTTTTTTCCTTGATCGGGTTGGAGGGTGTCATTAATAAGATTGTGGACATGTTGGGGTTACAAGGCAGTGCTCAGATTTTAAGAAATTTAATTTTTTTTCTCAAGAATGATGAATGTACTAATATGCTGTTTTTGTTCACAGATAAACTATCCACCTCACCTAAGAAAGATGAAAGGCTCCCTAGCATGGGGGTAAGAACTTACTTTCTTTAAACTAATTGAGTGTCCTAGTCTCTCCTTTGCAATTCCAACTCTTAAAAAGGTGTCCACTTTTGTGAAGGCACTGGAACCCATCAGGCACATGTTTTCTAGGTGTGTCATTTGTCAGCAGAAAAACAGATTTGATGTTTGCTCGAATCAAATTCACTGCCAGAATTTGAGATTCAAATTAACAGTGGAACAGCAATGGTAGCCTCTTAGTTTAAAACCACTGCTTGTATGTAAACAGAGCAAACAAAATTCTTATTTTTCTTGAATTTTAAATTGTTGTATTTTTTTCCTTATACAGGAGTCATCATCTGGAGGAAGTGCATCTAAGGAACCATCTCAGGAACCATCTCAGGAACCATCTCAGGAAATCCTTCCTAGTGCTCACCATTTACTAGATGTAAGTCCAACCCATTGTTATTAAGTAGCTCTGCTTTATGAATATCGATATTTTTTCATCTGAGGAAAGTTCTCATTTTCTGGTGAGTATACTGTGGTGAACCATAAGTAATTTTGTGGCTCACTGAAATGTTGGGCATAAAAGGAATGCTTTATACTGTTAATACTCAAGTAAGTCCCACCTCTCCGTGAAGCTCATAATTTCAGGTTTCAAAATAGCCCCTTTCTTTGATAAGCATTTTCACACTCCCCCTCCCCTCCCCTAAACAACAACTTTGGTTTTGTCCTTTTCTTTGAAACTGAGAGAATCCCTTTCATAACCTATACTTTCTTCTTTCACTTTTTAATTTTCAATTAATTTACAACCTAATTATGCTTTAAACACACAACTGATTTTAGATTAAGTTACTGGCTGACTTTAATGTTAATCTACTTTAAAACTGTAAAAGAAATAAAGTTAAGGAAGCCCACTACTAATCCTTTATTAATCCTCAAAGGTATCAAGCGTCTAGTTTCTCCTTACAATATCACCCCTAAATCGAAAATTGTGGTCATGAGAATTAAAGACATAATCGCCAGCCGAAAAAGGCTCTTGATTTTTTAAACAAATTCTCCTTATCAGCTCCTTAGGAAATGTACAGAGAACAGTATGGAGAATATGCATACTGATGTTTGGGTTAAAATGCTGTTTGGTTTCTCGTGAGATTCCCCGCCACCGTTTCAACTTATTTATACTGTTGATTTTATGAACATTAACCTAAAAAAGACTGACATAAGGTAATCTTATTACGAAGTTTTATATACTTATAGAATCTTTTAGCATGAAAGCGTTACAGTGAAGTAATTTCAATCTTGTAATATCTTCAATGTCATTTTATTTCAGCCGGAGACAGCTTTTCAAGCCATAATGGATGAAAATAGTGTGGACTTTGTGAAGAAATTCCAAGACCTGGCAAAGGAAATATCTGGTGAAAATAACAAAGCCCCGACAAGTCCGGCCTCTGATACTACATTCCCACCACTATGCAACACTGAATTAAATGGCAGATCCTCTGATGACAGCAATAGCGACAATGGAATCTTCAAACAAATCCTGAAACAATCAAAGACGAACGTCAGTTGAACTGTCCTCGTTTTTTGCTGAGTTGCTTGTTTTGTTGCCAACCAGGGCTGTGATATGCCTCGGTTGTGTTGTAAGTAATCTAGAGTCGTAATTCTGTAGCTGTGGTCGTCAGTTCACGGTTCTGATCAGCCATCTTGAACCACGAGACATAGTTTTGGACATTTCCTGCAAGTTTCTGGTAACATAAAATGAGATTCTACCTTAACCCCTGAGAGTGATAGGCATCTAATTTCTTCTAACAATACTACCCTTGGATCAAATATTACGGTCGTGAGAATAAAGGAAATGATCACAAATTCAACAATCTCTTGATTATTAGACAAATTGTCCTTCTAGGTGCCATAAGAAATGTAAAGAGAACAGTGTGAAGAACTTGCAGACTGATGTTAGGGTGTAAAGAGTTAAAGTGCTTATTTTACGGTTCTGTATAATTTGTTTCGTAATTGCTAACGACGGGAACAGATTACTGAAGTTAAGGAACGCGTCAAACATGTTCATTTCAATGTCCTTGGTGCTTTGTATGAAGCCCATTGTCAAAGTTGTCAAATTTGTAGAAATTGTTTGTAATTGTTTTTGGCAGCTTTGTATTAGAAATATCAGAAAATTTCATGAACTTTGATCAGTTACAATGACAGAACAGTGATCACTTTGAGATCTGCGAGATTTGAATCGTATTTGTAATGTGCAATTGTAAGATTCGTAGTTAGGATATCTAGATCACGAGATTCTGTTCCTAACATTAGACGTGTTCATATTGACAAAATCAAATAAAGGCGTCGTGATTTCACATCATGTATTCATAGCTTGCTATTGTGGTTATTTCACAAGCAACATCAGAATTGTTTTTAAATCTGAATCTTTGCCTATGTTACTTTCAGAAAGGACACAAAACAGGTACTAAACTACATTCATAGAAAATTTACAAGCAGTCAAGCTGTGGAATTGGATTTTTTTTTTATCATCAATCTGAATATGAAAGATTACTTAAACATAAGCACGGTGTAATTTCAAACCGCGAGATTACATTAGCTTTGTGTAGTGCATATTTCAGTCAGATTTTCAGTCACATGTCAATCACATTTCAGTCAGATTTTTTTGCGCGCCTTGTTCGGCGTCTCAGCGGAAAATGTGAAAGTAAGTTTTGACACTTGTGAGGCTCAATTCTTTTTTCAAATACCACTTATACCTTGCAAATCGTCAACTTGAAAAAAACTCACCTCCTTGGCGCTTTGCTTTTGTCTAATTTCGGGGCATAAATTTCAACCATTTTATGGTCACGCATGCCTGTTTTAGTTTTCCAGAATTTCTCGCAAAACAGGAAATGATTGAAAGTATTTAAAGTATCGACAGGAACATTATGAAATCGGACGCTTTCATTTCCGTGTACATATTTGTTCGAACTCTTTGCACCGCGCTGTTTGCCTACGTTTTGAAACATGTTATAACTGATATTTGCCATAGTACACACACTAGTGTACATCACTTAATTAACGATCGTGCGACGTGATTAAATGTCTAGTAATTATCATATCAAACTAAATTGGTGAAAATAGCATAGTGAGGTACACTAAGCTCTTCTGACATGCTTTCTTCTCGAAAACATTACTCAATCAATGAAAAATCATTCGTCAGATCGTTGATTGGTTTGTCGAAAGAAAGCTTTTAATTGAATCTGCTCAAACCACGGCCGAAGAAAAAGCGTTGTCGGGCATTCTTTTTCGAAGCATAGCTCATGTCCCAGCCAGAACTTCAGGATATTTCGTGAGTACAAAAATAATTTTTCGCTTAACTCAACCTTTTTGTTTTCCTTTATTCTGGGAGGGGAGATTTTTGTTATAAATATGAAATTAACACAAAAATCCCTTCGATATTTAAAGATATACAAAACGACAGCCCTTTTCGTGGGAAGGAAGATTTCCCAAACGTACATTTGACCACTCCAGTGTTGAATAAGGAGAAAAAGACTATTCAGTCCTTTTGAATGATCAATCATTTCGTAAAGTTGTGTATGTTTTTTGTAGAGACAGCGAATATCCTAAGATTCAGAATTTGCATATATTAAATTTGCAACTGTTTAAGAAGTCTTCTTTGATAAGTCATCATTATTCTGATTTAGTGCTAAACCAGCACATTTCTTTTCCGAAAGGTTTTCTAGAAGGTCTCTCATGTTTTTCTATATCTCTGTTGAGATCTTTATCAGTTCACACGAAGGGGTGGGGGCTTTTTGGAACGTTTTGATTCGTTTTGTTCACTCGCCGCAGCAAGATTATATCTTAAATGAGCCATTGTTTTGTTACATTTACCGGATGTCTGTTCTTGGCGTATGTTTGTACGTCAAGATCTTTTTGTTAAGAGAATACCTTTTGACAGTTGGTGTCGATCGTTTGATTGACTTCCAAAAATTATTTGCGGTGACTTTCTAACAGCATTGAAAAAGAATGTGACGTTGCGCTCTCGTCCACTTCAAGATTTCACCGATAAACTGGTAAATATGTATTTCTTTTAAGAAAAACTGTATGTCTATTGTTTTTTTTTTTCGTTACTGAGAGACAGAGATGTTGTTTAAGAATCTTGTATTAAGAGGCATTTGGATCAGTCATCAGGCAATTTCACTTGTCAACAAAAAGGTGAGTAAACAAACGAGCAAACCTTAAAATCTACTTGACAAGTGATTACCTTGATAAGACCCCACACCGGCAGATTTGCCAGTTCTTGGGTTTTTGCCATGTCATGTCGGCTCTCAAACAGGAAGGCTTCCGGGCCAAGAAAAAACTTGTCAAATTTTGCTATCAAAACTGACAAGAAAAGCTTGTCAAGGGAAAGAAGTGATGGAAAATTCGCAGGTGTGAATGTAGCTGAAAAGTTTTCTTTGATTGATCAGCTCATTAAAATTAAGCGCAAGTGTATGTCGCAAAAAGACAGAAGATTATCAATTTATTATTCGATCTGATAGAAACTCACTATTATTTTCCTCTTTGACCCTACTTTCAACAGATTTATCATGAGAAAAAACCGAATTAAAAAATTTCATATCTTCACTCACTGCCCGAACTTTTTAATGTATTACTCGCGTTTGGAAGTGTTCAGTATCATTTGTATCTTTCATTGTGTTTGCATCTAATATGTATCTATTGAAAACCGCATTAATGAAAGTAAAGGAAATGGTATATGATGAAATAAGACTTTTTTAGGATGTCACTAATATTCAAATTCAGAAGCTAATTTTTGATGGTCTTTAACGTCGAAGAGTTGACTTGATCTTGTGGCACGTGAAATTCACCCCATGGACAGTTTAAGATAACAACTGTGCGCATCCAAATTTACTAGGGGCACAGTCAATGATCAAGAGTCACCGATGTGAAAGTTTATAGAGGAACGTGTATTTACCATTCTTCTTCGAATTTTATAGAAACCACCTTGTGTTTTATCACTAGCATTCATTAAAGAAATTGATTGATCTCTATTTAGTGCAATCTCACAAATCTTTTTTATCTGATACATTTTTAAGTTTTTTTTGCGTTTCATTGGCCTGATACCTGGTACAATGAAGCATCAATTGTGATATCCTTGAAAAAAACTTTTGAATACGGAAAATCTAAATCAAATTCTTTACTACCAGTTTATAAATAACTCCTCTCTGATCATGCTCTTAAAATATCGCATGGGTTAGTTGATTTCTCTGACCTGAAAAAGGTGGTTTATTTTGTTTTTCTTGAAACCATAAGGTGATCTCTCATGCAGGCGAGCACTCTGTCGATTATGATAAGAAATGTCTTGTATGCGTTTCCTTTTAAATTGATCAAATTGAAAGCACGTCATTTTTATCGTAATCCTGTTTGCTTACAAGCACAATTTAAATTGTAATCAGCAGGGTTGTGATAGAGTATAACCCATTTGACAATAATCTCGTATTAGAAGGTAGGATCTTCGGCTGATTTGTTTCCTGTTTTTAGTCGATTGGCCTACCCACATCCATTAATTTTTAGTTAAAATATTGATGTATTTGTCGGCTGTGGCAAAAAGGTTATTATGTGATCAAAATTTACATGTTTAGGGTACAAATTACGACCCTGTAAAAGTGATGGTTTTGTGTATGTTTGACAAAGTATGCAAATGTATTGTCAGAAGTCTCTCGCATGTTGGCCATTATCGCGAAAAAGGGTAGGAGATTGTAGGAAACATAAACAAGATCCTTGCGATTTAGGACTGAGTTCGGTTGGGGTGGTGAAATTGTGAAAGACACAGCAGGTTTATGATTTTCATCCGTAGAGTGAGCCATTTGCGAGACGTTCAGTGCCTCTTCTTTGAAATTAACGAGAGTGGGTGCGAGGCGTTTGAAAATATAAATTTTTTTCTTACTCAAATACAATTCGTTTCACAACAAAGGTGTTAATTTCAGCCTCTTTTTGAAAGTGAGTGCTTTAAGACCTCGGCAATAAAGCCGAACGACTCTCATAGCCGACAGGGTCCTGGCAAGAATTCTCACACCAATCCTCACCGAATCGTAAGACTGCCTGAGGACTGCCTTAGAAACTGCACGTGATCATAACAGGGGTATGAAAACGAATAAATAGCAAATGACAGAAATAACACTCAATCTTATTTTGGAAAAACTCTTTTCTCACGGAAATGCTTTCCAGCAAAGTTCAGCGTTTGAAAGTTAAATACAGTTTTTTAAATCGTTACTATCGTTGATAAAAAAAAAAACACTACAAGAAAAAACGCCATGTAGAAAGGTCTACAAAATCGAAAAAAAAAACTAAAAATCTAGACGGGTTTAAGTTCAGTTGAATGATGTAAATAAATAAATAAATAAATAAATAAATACTTTTACTGTTTATCTAGAAGCTTTTGATCAACTCGGACTTAGGAATATTCTAGTTAAAAGAGTGCAGGCCAAGCAAATTTCAGAAGGTTCTTTACATTTTTACCATAAGAAGGCTTTCTTGATATTTCCAACCCAATTACTTTGTACTCTGAAATGTATTTGAAGGCAGGTGGCCGTCACGCAATTTCCCTGATTGAGTATTGCTG